AAAATTGTGATCCATTTTATGAGTTGTCTCGTATTCACTGATTCCTGTGGGAACGTGATTAATACCTGTATCTCTGTCGCATCCACGAATTGAAGTGAGGGGTCAAAATTTTCCTCGCCGGTGTTTTGTTATAACCGTCTCTCCTGTATCACACATAAAGAGAACCAAATGACCGCATTACCAGGCTTTTCAGTATCCTGGTCAGAATCTGGGTAATACTCTGTGATGCATACGCTAGTGGTTGCTTCTGACATCGTATGAATGTGCTGTGCAGAGGGAGGAGGGCGGTTCGTGTTGTCTGCTTTATAATAACCGTTGTAGCATGGAATTTGTTCGACGGTTACATTTTTGTACTAGTCTAACATCTTTCGAATCCTTTCCGTAATATCAAACTGTACACAAATGACTCGGAAAGAAAAAAACTAGCACTCGTTCTTCCACGGTTAACTCCTATGATGGATAGGATCTATTTCAGAGCTTGCACTATCCGTTTTGTTGTGGACTGTGTTTTTATCATTATTATTAATTATTATTTTAAATCCCTTTCTCCTCTATTTTCAGAGCACATGTTGCAGAACCCAAATACGCTGTTTCCACGGTACCGAAAAATAATTCTATTCTGAAACCCGAAACAGAAATACCATACGAAGAATTTTTGACTTATTTGCACTCTTATCAATCTCCCGACAAATCCCTCACCAAATCGCATCCTGCTCAGACAAGTAACGACTCGGCCCCTGGTGCCCGTTTATTCAAAAACACCCGTGAAACCAAAGTTTGTCCCTCCACGCGACCGGTGAGCACAGCCTCATTACACTCGCAACAGCAATCAGAACAAGAAAAGACAGCTCAACCGGATTCACATCGCCGCTCCCCTTCTGGCTCCTCTTCATCCTCCTCCTTTTCCTCCGGTTCCGAATCCAGTGGGTCTTCCAGTTCCTCCTCCTCTTCTGATTCTACTGATGCACCCAGTCAGTCAGCCTCTCTCAGTCCCGACCGACAGTCTATCGTTCAGTCTCATTCGCGTATTGACATCGCGTCGGTGCACACGAAGACCAATCAACCCTCCACCCAAACCAGCCCGGATACTGTTCAGTCCAGCCCGTCAGGACATCATGCTCTTAAGTACTTGAGCAGTCACCCTCGCTCGAGTCAGCATACCTCCCGTACACCTTATTCTTCTTCGTCTCCCACTGCTCCACGGATCCAGGACCAGAAACGCCGTGAGCCACATGATAACCGTCCTGACTATGGGTTTCGCTTGAGAAATAGCTCTTTCAGATCTTCCCGGTCACTTGGACGGTCGGATCGAGATCGATCTTTTGACGGGCATCCACCCAACCGACCAAATGTACCACGTCCACCATCTCCTCGCCGGTCTGAGACTCGTGATCACAACCGATTGACAGACCAACACACCCACCATTTCCGACGTGAAATCGATCCGCCCCATCCTCCTCGTGATAGAAAACGTTTTATAAACCGCGTAGATCGGGCACATCAGGACAATGTCTGTTCCAAATATCGCGGTGGAAACTTCTCATCGTTTTCCAGACGCGCAAAACGACCCAGAACTCCGTCCTCTAATCGCGGTTCAGTTCTCAGTGTCGATGCGCAAACTCGTCACTGCGCTCCCGCACCTAAGGAGAAAGTAGCCGAACCCTATGAGGTCAAATTCGATCATCAGAATGGTCAGTTAATCTCCATGAAAAGGACGATTGGCCCATCCTATTAGTTAGCGTGTTGTGAGATGCAAACTGTTTGATAGAACATCATGTCTCTTTTGTCAACGTTCAATATGCGCTATGACTGATCCATCTTTGCTGGGCCTTACCTATAGTGCTCAACCAGCAATGTTGTTGAGATTCGAACCCTTTTAATGGTCATGAACTAGGTATCTGCATGGGTTGACGTGGTTGACCTCTGAAGGTTGGTTGATTCATTTAAACACTATCTGTGACGACACTCGGTCGTCACTAATCATCTAATACTTCCATATGCACTAATCCACTCTGTGATGCACAGTGTTTGAGCTAGGCGAGCTGGGTACTGACGGCGTTGTAAATCTCTTGAGATTTATCCGAATCCTCATTATTGGGGTTCGAACCCCAGGGAGTTCGGTGAATTTTCATTGCTTTACAGTGCGAGGATGACTTCATCGTTCCACATTGTCTTGTCACTCTCACTCGTGACCTTCAACAAGTAAATTCCCTCCGACCCTTTCTGTGATCTCATTGGATCATATTCCGTGATTTGCGGCACTTGGAATCCCTCACCCCAACAAGGGACCGTCGGACTATCGGCTTGTACTTTTTGTAATGTTCTTGTTGTCACGTCCAGTCCATCCGTGTGGTTGTGACACGCCTGCTGCAGAGTCGAATTTCACTCAGGCCTGCCTAAGACTTGCGGCTGTCAACAAGGTGTGGTCAAGGAAACAGAAAAAACGTAGATAATGTCTGTGTTTCTATATATGTGTCTGGATTCTATGGACAATAGTATGGGAGTTCAAATTGTTCTGCAAATGACATTTATACAGTCGAATGAATCAGATACATAAACGATTTGACACTCAGTTCATAACCGGCTTTATGTCGCTCTATCGTCATGGTAAATCCAGAGCTCCGACTGACTGTTTTAGAATGCACAAGGAGTTGTTCAACCGAATCGCGGTCGCTTCGGTTGTTGACAGTTAGCGGTGCTTGACCTGCTTCGATCTCACCCCCGTGATCGTGTAGATGGGCCCGACCGCTTCATTTATTCTGACACGATGTTCGGTCTCGACATAAGGAGCCGGAATCGTCGTACCCTCGGTTCACGTCAATCCGCGACTAAGCCAATTGGACTGATGTTCTTGAATGCGTTCGGCCGAGCAGTGGTTGTTACGGTCAGTGTCAGTGGTTCCACAGGAACACAACTTGGTAAATCCCTCATACAAGGTAATGTGGTACCTGTTATCCGGCGTACAGAAACTGAATTTGATACTAAAGTTTGTTTCCAACATGACGGTGCACCGCCACGCAGTGCTCTGGTGGTGAGATGGTTCCTCGATTCGGAAGTTAACTTCAGATGGATTGGCTGAGGAGGACCAAAGCAATTACCTCCAATATCACCTGGTCTGTCCCCCTTGGATTTCTTTCTGTGGGGATATCTAAGGCGAACCGTTTATTCCCGGAAACCGAGAACGATCGAAGAGCTTAAACAGACTATTGTGGCCCAGTACGAAAGCATTCCATTCTGAAGGTGGAAGAAAACTATCTTCACCGTATTTTGCTATGCAGGCAGCAGAATGGGAACATATCGAACAACTTTTATAAAATAAATATTCATTTTTATATAATGTTTGTTGCTTCGGAATCCTATCTCCGAAGTAGTTGGCGAAATCGTTCAACGCGAAAACAGCCAGTTGTGAAAATGCCAAGGAGAGTTTTGCGTGGGTTTACATTAGTGGATATTGTAGTCCGATATTAAGAGGAGTTCAAGGTTTTATTATACTTATCAGTTTACCGAACACTTCAAACAATAGTGCGTGTATCTTATACGAGTCGGGCATTGGCCCAGTGTCATCATCACTTGAGCATTTTCCATTCCGAATGGCTTACATAGCGCATCGCTCCGCAACTGATTCTCTTGTGATGATCCTCTACCTACACTTGAGCAGCATCGGATTCTAAACATATCCTCCTGTGCTGGCCCGAAAATCACACTACCGATCGGATTCATTTATCGACCGATCGGATGGTGCATTCGCAACGGGGGACCTGGTGCTTGCCCAGCTAACCCGGGTGAGGAGATATATCTGTTTACAGTCGCAATTCTTAGGCAGGCCTGAGTGAAATTCGACTCTGCAGCAGGCGTGTCACAACCACACGGATGGACTGGACGTGACAACAAGAACATTACAAAAAGTACAAGCCGATAGTCCGACGGTCCCTTGTTGGGGTGAGGGATTCCAAGTGCCGCAAATCACGGAATATGATCCAATGAGATCACAGAAAGGGTCGGAGGGAATTTACTTGTTGAAGGTCACGAGTGAGAGTGACAAGACAATGTGAAACGATGGAGCAATCGCACTGTGCAGGATGGTTTCATGTATCATTGTATTCTTTCGTTACTACCTCAGTGGAGAAATTGATACTGGAGGGCACCTAACCCGCTGCAAATTTTTTACTGGCGTCGACTGAGAATTTCCTTGATGATTTCGCTACGCAGTGAACTTACTGATCGTTTCCTCTCGCTAGCGTGCAACTGTTCTCCATTATTGATTCAGTCGCGATGAGAGTACACCTTGACATGATGTGATGGCTTGTGCACCTCTGTGACCCAACGAGCTACACAGGATGGCTTTTGTCGAGCCAAAGATGCCTGGAAGGTCAAACATAGTCCAGTCTTCTCCAGGCTGGGGTTCTACTTGATTTGGCGTGTAAGTTGGTAAAACGTGTTGGAGCAGTAATTGATCCAAGTAATGGGGCCTTCAATCCGCCTTATTCGCTGCCTTGCGGTTAGGTTCTTGTTAGAACTGAAGTCCTTGATTGAGAATCCTAATCGTTCTACTTATTGGCAGGACACCCTGACAGTACCCGTCCATAAAGCTCCAATGAACATAAATTAAAAATAATTCCGTACTCCATCGGTCGTCGCGCAGGATAATCAGGACCGCGCTGCCCATTGCATTGAGTTGGGTGGGTAGTGATAAGTGGGCTACTGATCAGACATTCCAACCTCTGTTTAATGCTTTGTCTTCCGTACCCAACCCTCTCCCTTTACCCCTCTTTCCTACCCATAGCATTCCCCTAGACAACTTGATCGTCATTCGCCAAAGGTTTTTGCC